AAAAGCAAGATTCCACAGATCCTTAAAGAAACAAACAAGAAAGATGCATTTTGCCAAATTACAGGGTTTGATCCTGAAACATTAGTGGCAACACTCCATTTTCATGGAAGGAGTATTAACAGCTTCAAACATAACCAAATAATAAAGATTTCAAATCAGATTGAACACTTTTAAGAAGGAATGAGTTCTGAGTAACTAGGCCTACATTTTCTTTACTGCAGCATAATGGAGAAAATTGGATCATTCTGTTTGAGTTCAGAAAGTATCTTGTGTTTAGCTCTTAATGGAAAATGGCTTTCTCACATCTCAATAGATCAGCAAGTCTTTTTCTTGTTTTTTTTTTGTTCTTGTTCAAGTCCAAATTTCCACAAAAAAAAAAAAAAAAAAAAAAAAAAAAGGCACCACGGTTCCCTTTCTCTCCTATCTAGCAAAATAAACTTCTTTCTTCTCACCTTTCCATCCGAGACAGAACATGTATTATAAGACCAAACAGCTCTGATCCAGACTGGGGGTTGCCTGAACATTTTCCCTATCAACCATTTCATTGCCAAAGAGCAGATTACTCAGAGATCAGCTGAAAATGCCTCCCCTGCTGCACTTGGGGCTGGGATGCGTGGGGCTTTTGCAAGACTCTACATCCTGGTGGTTTCCGTGTGCTCCAGAAGAAAGTGCAGCTTCTCTCCATGATATTAATGAAAGACCAGTAACCAACACTGTCCACTACCCCTGGGATTGGTCTCCTCTAGCTTCAGGGAAGGGTTTCAGCTGTTTGTGTGAGCTGCTGCTATAGTCAGTGGAGAGACACTGTATCCCAGCTCCAAAAGAACAAAACCTGATAACCCCTGACAACAAGTTTAGTTACTCACTGACTTCAAGAGACTTTGGCTGGAGCTACACCAGACATGTCATGACCCTCCTGGGGAGCACCCGTGTTTGCAGTCTGTCCTCGGGCAACGTCATGCAGGGATGTGACCAGGCACACAGAAAGCAAAGGTCCTATCTGCACAGCGAGTTCCAATTCCCTGCTCATTTCTACCAACCAAGCACCTTCCCCCACGACACGTTCTGACACCTGCTGAAGCCTAACAGTGATTGCTTCATATTTCTGAACTATGAGTCAGGAAGAAGGATCCTTTTGTCAATAATAATTCGAGGTTTAACTGTGCAGGCTGTACTCAGGCAAGCCTCCCATTACATGAGTGGAATATGAACACAGGAGCCGCAAGATGTTATTTCTGTACAAATCTGCAACAATGAGCCAAAACTCTAAATTTCAAAACCCTAAAAATGATGCTTTTTGAGCTGTGACAGTTTTGAAGTTGTGCCAGCAATTCCTAACTTATCTTTCAATTATAGATCTGCATTTTAGGCACTTAGGGACATGGTTTAACAGGAATGGTCTTGGTGTACTACTCGTTGCAGGCAAGGATGTAAATTGTGATTATGTGCGTGTGTGTGTTGTGTTGCCAAAGCAAAAGAACTGGGCAAAGAAGGAGATATCTACCCAACCCGCCTCTTCTGCCAAATTCTCAGATGTCTTATCCATCTCTGTGATGCTTTCTTTTAGTATATAACGTAAGTACCTATTCTCTTTAGCCATCAATTGTATCTGCAGGTGCTGGACAAGGTCCGCTGAATATCAGTGTCATCAATTTATTCAGACTCTCTCACCCATGACCAAATGCACTTTGTTTTCTACAGTTTAGGGTAAAGAGTGATTTTGTTTCTCTGAATCTTCCTACAAGTCTTTGGGGGTCACTTCATTCTCCACTATCACTTGGATATTTTGTTCTTCTATGGGTCACCTTATGCCTTACCAAGTGCCAGGCTGTTACAGAAGTTAGTGCTAGTTTACACCTGATCTGTAAGTCGGCTTCTTGCTTACTTCCTGGCCTCTGATGCCTTATAGATACTCTGCCTGACTGGTGTGCTTTCATATGCTGATACGCTATCAATATGGTACAAACCACATTCACAGGCAGAATTTCAAGAAGAAAAAAATCCCAACATAAAAAAACCTCCCTCCAGTTCTGGCATCTGAAACAGATTTCCAGCCCCTCAATTTTCCCCCATGTTTCCCTTGGGCTGTCTGAAAAATAACAGATGCAAATGGGTTACTTTTGCAAGCACAGTATTTCCTCCACAGCTGATGCACTGCTAAAATCCACCTGAAGCCCAGCAGACACAGCCATGAGCTTTGCCAAGAACGATACATTACTTCAAAGAGAAAACCAGACAACTACCTACTGGCTGCATCCTAGAGCAGAGAGCCCTGCACTTCTCCAGACTGCAGAATACCATTTAAACGCATCTCAGACCACCTATTTCTAGCAGGAACTTAGTGCAGGGCAACATTATTTTGCTGCTTTCCCCAGAAGCCTTTTTTTTTTGGTCACATGCAGCTATTCCTCTATTCTTCTTCAGTTTCGTGGCTTGCAAGACAGAGCTAAAATCAATCTGTTGCCTGATGAGCTTCTGATGAAAGTCAAGGTTGAAGTCCTGCATTTCTTGATTTCTTTAGCATCTGAACATCCCCTGCTTCTTAGCTCTACACCTCAGCGTCTGGCACTTTCTCAGTGCTGCTGCTTTTCTGGGACAGCTGTAAGCTAAGGGGAGACCTTGTGCTAGGTTAAGATACGCCTCTGGGAAAAGGATAGAGTCTATCTCCAGATGACGCTTTTGGGTTGCATATCTGTGCTCTTTAGCGACTGGCATGTCATGTTTATGTGCTTAACTTGCCCAGATATATACTGGCTTTTTGTCTGCTCGTCTTTCCCGTGGTTACTGCTATCAGCACTCCCAGTGCAGGCTGTAGAACTTGAGCAGCCTTCTGTTCATTTCATATATCATCACTGAAAGCAGATAGCAGATAACAGCTCATTTCAGCCGACAGAGTATTTGCCACCAGACAAGAAGCAAGCAGACCTTTCCTGTGTTTCTCTGGTAGACCCTTTAAAATCAACTGGAGAAACAGGGAAAGAACTAATCTTAAATCCTCTTACCTTGACTGAGGTATAAAGCAGACTGGAAGAACTCAGTGCATCTCTATTTGTCCCAGCCACCAGTCAGCGGCTACACAACACGGGGAATTAAAAAGTGCTTTAGCTTCACTGACCTTACCATGTAGACCCAGCACTTTTCCCATATTGTCCCCCAAGAGGGATGAAATGCTGAGTGTTGTGTGTTCTTGCAAATTGCAACGTGCAACTTTCCAAAAGTGTTAAGGAAATATAGCTTTTAGGCAAAATGTTTACAAAGAAACGCAATTTGCTGTGATCCTCTGGTCTTGTGTGGCCTTACGATCCACAGGGAGTAATGGGAGGAGGCGGATGGGCTAACACGGCCTTGGTTTTAAGTCCTATCTGCAGCACCCAGGCAGGTTACGCTAGCAGGAACGTCAGCCTCGATGCCTCCTTCTTGAGGCCCCTGAACCCCGTGCAACCCGACAGGAACTCCCATGCACAGGCGTTACACAGACACCAAAATAAAGGCAGAAACGAGCTTTGCTGAAGCGCTATCGTCCTGACTTTATCTGAATAACTAGCTACAGTCCAAATCCTGGAGAGCACCGAGTGTGTGAATTTACCGTGAAAGCAGGATCAACGTCTAAGATGGCCCTTCCAGAAAAGACAACTCTTCTCACTGCCACTGCCGTAACTAATGCGGCAATCGCAGCGCCTAGGGAGGCACAAAGGGGCTGGGGACACACGGGTTATTTTGTGGTAGGGCTGTGGTCCAGAATCAATACGAAATGCAAAAGATCTTTTAACAAAAAATAAACAAACTGATTTCTTTACCCTCGCAATTGTGATTTCCCTGTCTTTCTAGTATAAATCTTGGCAAGCTGTATTTTCTTTCTTCATTTATTTCTAAATGAAATAAAATTTCTTTCAAGGTTATGAATGGTTTTACAAGCATTAAAATATTATTAAAATGAACTACTTCATCCTGTAAGCCGAAACAGCAGTTCTTCCATGCAGAAAGCTTGCTTGGAGATAATTTGGGCTTTTATTGCCATCTACATAACCACGTGTGCAGTACCCAAAACAGAGAAATGATTACTCTAGGTCTGGCAACAGCTCTGTACAAGCAGGAACTCTTTAGAAACCCCATATTCTATGGAGACAGAGTACTCCTAATCTGATCTTTCCTCACTCCCCCAAAGCTCTAGCTCAACCTAAAAGCCTACATTTTCACTGTTCTTTCCAGAATTTATGTTAGCGCTGTCCATAGTAATAGATTTTGTTACTCTACACATGTCGCCTCCTTAGATGAAGGTTGTCCTCAAGGTTGTATGTTTCATGGCATAACCATGCATGTTCTTTGATATTTTCCAGCTTTCAATTATATCAGCTTTTCCTGAATTCTTCTACACTCACATGGTGAGAACAGAAAATTATAATCTGCCTTCTTATGCATTCACCTTTTCTTATTTCATATGCCTTCTCCAGTTTATATTTTATGCCATTTTCTTGCTTATTCAAAACATGCAGCAAAAAAAGAGCAGTTAAGTCTAACATGTAGCCCTTCCCATTATCTTTAGCCTAGGGTGGATTTATCAGGCTGGAGATTGCACTCTCATTACCACCACCCAACACGAAGCACGTCAAGTAACGCGACACAGTGAAGAGTCATCCTCCTGTGCAATCCTGCTCACATTTATCTAGGTTGAATCTGAGACTGCTTCAAGGAGACAGAACCTCTCTAACTTGCTGCTAAGTGGAAGCTGCTAAGATTTAAGCTGAACGTATCTGTGGCAGGGAGTGCAAACTTTTGATCTCAGTGAGACAGTGTTAATTTTCAGGTGACAAAATACTTTTATGATGGTAATCTTTCCCCCTATCATTTATGACCACTTAAAAAAACACCCTATGTCTATGGCAGTGAGAACAGCAGCAGCAGCATTCACAAGGTAACTCGAGACAGCTTCCATCCCAGCACTGCAGTGTGGACATGAGAATATATCAAATATGGACAAATGTAAAGAGAGGAATCCTTACCTGCCCTCCTTTAGGCTGGTATTTGATATTATCTGTCGAACCGATTTTGGACCTGACATTCTTGAGGTCAGGTAGAGGCTGATTAATAACTCGTAGCTGCTTCGGAGTGGCTGGAGACTTGGGAGGAGTGCGGATGATTGCAATTTTTTTCTCAGTGGGTACCAGTATAGCAGATTTGGGGGTCCCAGGAGTGTGTGGGGTTCTGGAATAGCTCGGAGTCCCCGGAGTGCCTGGAGTACGGGAGGAGTAGCTAGGTGGGGTTCCTGGAGTGATGGCAGTGGAGCCAGGAGTGGTGGGGGTAGAAGTTCCACTTTTTCCTGTTCTGCTACGAATTGGCTCCGATCCTATATGCAAGGAAAAAGAAAACAGCATTGATCATACTGACCATACTGTACCTCCCAAGGCTATAACTGTGTGAGACACAGCCCCAAGACGGTGCTGCCTGTGCTAACGCTGGAGTAGCAGACTGGGGGTCTGTCTCTGTCTGTCTTAGCCAGACAAGGTAGGTAAGTTACCTCGCTAAGAGCTACCTCGTCACCTGGGATTGAGCTTGTAATTCACCTGTTTGGTGACCGAGGCACCGGTTCTGCAGCACAGATGTGTTTCCCCAAATCTCTGTGCTTCCTGCCTGGCTGACCAGACAGGACATTCCTCTCCTTAGGTGCAGCACTCCACTGCCCCTTACTGAATTTCCTGAGGTTAAAGTTCAATTATTCGATTAGTGCAGGGAAAGAAGGCAATTATAGGAGGCAACTTTGATTAAAAGGTACATTCAATTTACATCTTCATGCAAGTTAAAAAAAATAATACCATAACATTTTGCATTGCCTCCCTTTGGTGTCAGTGTCATTGCTAGCACTTTTCACTTAAAATTAAGAATCAGTTTACTAGTGGCATTGTGCTTTCTGCAGCCAGCTTTGCTTGTAACTCTCTACAGCAAACAGAGGAGGCTGAGATATCTCCATCCAGTGTTTACAGCACTCAGTGTTTGCTGAGGGCACTCAGAGAAGGAGCAAACCAACACTTAGCACCTGAGAACCTCAATGCTGAATGGCTGCATATAGTTGGTTCCAACTTTTAAATGTTCAGGGATGATAAATCCAATGGACCTCTCTAAAGCATCCATGGGGGCTTATCAAAGTCCCACTCAAGCTACTTGCTAATTATTCTGCATGCTTAACATTGATGGACCAAAGTGAATGCACTGCTGTTCCTGGGATCCATGAGAAACTCTGTTCTACACAACACATGAAACAGACTGAACATGAGACTCCATTTTCACCTGCAGTTTCTCTGAAGGATTTCTTTCTTTCCCAACCAACCCCAAACCAGATCTAAACCTTCTCACAACACCACCTGTAATGGAAAGGGGTTGTGATTTTTTTGCCCAGATTCCCCGCCACTTTGGTATATCTGTTTTTCATTGCTCAGTCCTTCCACCATATTGACAAATGCTCAATGGCTCTTGCTGTGAGCCAGCAGAACAGGCTGTTGGGCCACCTGCGGGGCACTCTGCTCGCAAAGGGTCTCTGTTTTAGTCTTCGAGCATCAGCCAAGAATTTTAGAAGATGCTGTGGTAGAATTTTAACAGCTCATTCCCCTTTCTTTTAAGCTTCTTTTATGAAGGGCAGTTAGTGGTTTCTAAAGAGACAAAGGCAGAATAATTTCCATGGGAGAGCAGGGAACCATGTCAGATCCAGGGGCTGAAGCCTGGGCTAAACGCAAATTAAGTTAAAATTTTGCGGTTATTTGGTAAAATTCTGTCTTGCAATTTCTTTTGGCTTATGATTTAATAGAATTGGTCCTCACAAAAGCACCTGGATGGCTAACTACCCTGATTTCCCCTGATGACCCTTCCACTAGCTAACATCTTTGCAGCTCTCAGACTAGAGAGCTTTTACCCCTAGACCAGAGCATACAGAGATCATTACAGTAAAACAGCAAATTAATGACTGAAACTATTAGGTTCAATATTTTCAGATCCATCAGAATGTTTTTATTGCCTGTTGAGATCTGTCTCATTCTTGTGGTTGCTTACAAATACCCTGCGTTAAATATCTTACCAGCCCCTAGGTCCCTGCAAAGACATTTTCTAACATAGGTTTTAAGCCTGAACTGCCCTGGGCTTTGTAGACTGTGGAAAAGATGCCCTCCTTGTCTGGTTTTAAGACCTTGCTACCTAAACAGAAACAATCTGAGGCCCTGATTTCCACCACCACACCTCAGACCTACCCCTCAGTGCTGAGGGCTAGGGACCCATGGTGTAACAACCACGGGACAAATTTAACAACAATGGGAGACAACCAGAGCAGCAGGAGAAAGTTAATATGCAAAGAACATACGGGTAGGCCGTCGTACTGAAGAGGAAAGGGAGGTTGTGAGGGAGAGAGAGTTCTCCTCTCTGTCTCGGTCTCCTGACAGACCTCTTCGAGGAGGAAGGATAGAAGAAGGTCTTGGTAGAGAGGAACGCTTTTCTGGACTCTTGCTTACTCCATCCTAGTAGTAGCAAAATAGAAAAAGGAAGGTTTAGTTTTCAAAACACCATTCTCTGGGTCGTGTTTTCTCTCTATTAATAAGGAAAGGGCAAGCCTCATCCCAGGGGCCCATATTACTACCCATGCAAGAAATTGCGGGGTTCCCATGCTCTGCTTAGCTCCCTGGCACTTCACCACAGCCAAACACCCAACAGAAGAGGACTGGCTGTGGTGCTCCAAGTAGTCAAAACTCTGATCCTCATGGGAGATATCCCTGCAACATCCCCAAGTGAGGAATTCTCCAAATCTCACTCTAGCTTGAATAACCCATTTCCTCAGAATAAACTTCACCTTTGGTGTAGGCAAAGCCTTTCACCTCCCACTTATTTGACCAAGCATGTATTAACATTATTAGCAGTTTTACTGAAGTAAAAGGCAGAGTGCCCAGTGATTTCAGTGGATGACAGAGGACTACTAGACTACTACTGAAACCCCTGTGAAGCCAACATCGAGATCTTTCCCATGGATACAACAGAGGCAGCTGTCTCCTGAGCTACTTGAGACAGATACTCTTACATCTAAATACGGAGAGCTTCCAGATTCGATTCTTAATGAGAAACGAGTTTTTTTTGTTGTTGTTCAAGTTGAAGGTAGAAGAGTCACCTAGAGCTCAAGTGTGAAATTCTCCTGTGAATTCACTTGTAGAGTAACTGCAGTATTTGTGCTTAGAATACATTACACACTATATTAATAGGCAACATGTGAATTTTGCCTTTTCAAGCATTAACCTGTAATTTTTTTTAAGGAGAGACAATTTTGGCTAATGCTTATTTTTTAAATGCAGGACTGTTAACCCTGTCTTCTTTCCAAACTCATCTTTTTCCATTTTGAAATCAGCAGATACCTGCTCCTTCTCCCAGTTGGACCAGTGCACAACTGAATATGCTAGAGCCAAACTTCTGGCATGTGCAGTTGAAGACACTCCTGTATAAGCAAATGATCCTCCCAAGGGCAAATGGGATGATGGTCCAAACCGGTCAAAGACTCACCAGGCACAATATGAGACAGAAAATGAATGTCAATATGAAAATGGCTTTTAAGTAGCATAATAGTCATTAACTGATGACATGCAGTATCATCAGATATGCAATGCAAGTGGAATATGAGTATCGGGAAGCTAGGATGGAAAGCTGCCAACAGCTCTAACTGTAACTTCTTCAAAGTGATGCCAAGCATAGATTGAACCTCATTCCTACAGCTTCAGCTTTTACTGCTAGTCATGAGGACTGTGCCCTCTTACACTGGCGTCTGAATTTGTTTTCAGACAGTATAAACTGTCTGGAAGTTACTTTTTTGACTTTTAAACTTCTCTTGGAAGGCAATTTAGTTTGTTTTTCTACACATTTCCCCATGAGAAAATGGATGCAACTTCTCAGCAGTCAATGGAGCAACATCCATACAATCCATAGAAGGAAGACATGCGCTTTCATGTATCATTTATTTCACTTATCTTTCCTCTGGAGAATCTCCTTTATTTTTATTGATTTTGCAGCATGCAGCCTGATTAAGCATCTTTTCTGCCATCGGATGTAATTAATACCAGGTTAACTTCACAAAGATTTACTCAAGCTCAGTGGAGACAGAATCTGATGGAGGGACTTCACCTACACATCTCTGCACTAACTCATTCTACCAAGTTGTCTACCTTACCTTAGCATCTGATTTTGAGTAGGGCAAGCAGTCTCTTGGGCCTGCTGAGGAGGGCCGTACATAATAACTGTCTGTATCAAGAAAAGTGGTCTTTTTAGTAGTTAGTGAGCAAGCTGAGCTGGGTCTTGGAGGAAGCAATGATTTTGCTCTAGACTTTGAGGCAGGAATCTTTGACAAAGAGGCAGTCTAGTCATGAGAAAACAAACAAAAGAAAACAACATGAAGCTGAACAAAAGGAAAACACATGCAACATGGACCAAAAAAAAAAAAAAAGCCAAGCAATGAATTATGACGTTTCCTTTGTCTGGTAATGGTATGTCTGTGGCAGTTTTCAGACATGCAGGAAAGTTTTAGTTCTGTGTTGTTTGACTGAACACGTCTGGGTCTGGTCACAGTTACTGATTCTAGGGAGTGCCTTTTTCTGGCCATAAAAGTGGTGCCAGACACAACAAAAGCTGGTACAATTCCTAGTGGCTGCATTATAAGCAAACACAAAACTACAGGAGCACAGACATAAAATCTTTTTAAATCAAGCTATGCATTTGAACAGAGTACCCTAGATTATGCTCAAGAATAAAACAGCATCAATCTTAAAGCTAGAGCAATATTCCCAGAGTGATAGAAGGACATGATAGCAACTGCATATATATGAAATCCTAAGAGCACCACAAGCGCATTTGGTGCCACGGTGGAAATTTGTAAGTCTCTATTGACAATGCGCAGACTTGGGATAAAACCTTTATATGCTTGAAATGTTGCCAGGAAGTGTCATCGTGATCAGACACCGGCCCAATTCTGAGAATACTACATTGAAAAATAATTAAATATCAATAGAAAATGTTGCAAATACTTTGTTGACACTGAGTGGCATTTAACTGCCCTGCAAAAAAGAGTTTTTTTCTTTGAAAGAGAATACAGCTACCCCTTGAGAAACACTTTTCTTTCTCCTAAGGGTATAATTGATGCTACAAAGAATAACTGCAAGGCTGTTTTCTTGGCAATGTAGTCCTGCTTCTCTCTGTATTCACATAAGCATGGAATTACTCATAGAAACAATCCCAGTGGGAGTTTAAGTATGAGATTTGGTACAGAACGTTAGCCATGACAAAAATGGCATTTAATCTAAGTCAGTCACCTAGACTTTCTAAATGTTCAGAAAAGGTACATGACTCATCTCTCAATTTTTTTTTTTTTTTAGAAAATGAGCAAAAAATGAGATGAATCATACCCTAGAGATATCCAGCTCTCTACTGACAAGCATCCGACTTAGACTAGATACTCAACCTACAGAAAACTAATGTTGGGGTACTGAATGTTATCTATAGAACATATGCACTAATCAACATGACTAGGAGTTGCAGAACATGATTAAGAGTTGCACAACTGGGTAATAAACAATCTCAGTCCCATAACACAGCTGAGCTAGATTTCTATGAGAGACCACCATCCAAATCAGGTGGCTTAATTATGGCTTTTTCTTAGTAATTATTTCACTTTACAGGAGTACACAAATAAAATCAGTATATAATTATTTTAAACAGAAACTGAACTATATTAATAAAAGTGTTTCTGTCAAGACAGGCTTCTCCATGTTTAGCCCAATTTGTAATCAAACAATTTTTAGGTCCCATCCAGTTGAGAAAATTCAGACTGGATTTACAAAAGCAGTATGGTATTTAATGATGCTGAAACTGTGGGAGCTGGGTACCTATCTCAGGTGGTTTTGAAAAGCAGACATTATGCAAGTACCTTTCCCCTGGTTTACCGAACTTAGATAACTAAAACTCCACAATCAGAGGTTCAAAAGCTCATTTAGCAGTTTTAGCTTTTTTCTTCTTGGGGTGGGGAGGAACTCAAAATGATTCCCCTGGTGAGACTGAAAACCCTTTGCAGATTAAGAACCTCACACAAAGAGGAGACCCTCCCTCTCCTTTTCACTCGTATTGCATGCCAGTGCCCTCCATGAACACACGCATCTAATGTGGACCCTAAAGATGGACACGAGCAGGATCTTTCAGTGGAACATGCCCTGCGGAAGGCATGACCTTCAGCTAACACATCACTCCAGGATTATTAGTCTGCACCTCCCTGGTGTTGCTCAGGGTGCAAGGCACTTTCTAGCATCAGTAGAGCAGCAGAATCCAGCCCGAGCTCAGTGGCATGCTCAAGGAAGACTGGTGGGGCAAGTAAAGAAACCAAATGCCTCACACCAAACATATGCTTTACCCAGAAAGCTATTCTCAGTCTCCGTTAGCAATGTATTTTCTTTGACCTCTGCTATAATTCATGTTGATGGAAGTGACAGCTTCCCTTGGGACCAAGTTCCCTGATTTGCTGAAGGTGGGATGCAGAAAGTTCACTTTATTTCAGCAGCTAGCTAGGGAATACACATTCATAATGCATGGCCACTGTTCTTAATATTTTGCTGACACAGGTATCCAGTTCACTCCAGCAGATGGAACTGCTCAGCCTTTCCTGAACTGTCCTGAAATGCAGTATGTGTAACTGTGGTTGCAAGAGGGATGACAAACTAAAGGGGAAGGATGGTGTAACATTACCAGCAGAGAGGAAAAGGCTGCACTTGAAGGACAGAAAAGCTGGGAGACTGGAACACACACAGCAACAAGATGGGAGAGGTCTTTAGGAGGGTATAGATTAAGACAAGGCACAAAGGAGAAACTGTCCGAGAGACGGAAAAGTGTTGCAACCAAAGAAGGGAAGCGAGAGGAGGGGAAAGTAAACGGGACAGGTGTCTGATCTTTGCCCTAAGGTAAGGGACAGAAAGAAGAAAGATGCGTAGAAAGCAGACCAAGAAAGATGCGTAGAAAGCAGACCATGTCTGAGAAGGATTATGCGGTGCTTATCCTCCGAGCGCTCCAGAAGCACTGAAGGCTCTGAAAGTGCTAGTATTCTCTTTGGTAACCCTTGATTACTCCCCGCAAAGAGATGCCAATATTAAATCTTACTGTTGACTTGGACCAGAAGCCTGTCCAGGCGTTTCTTACTAATAACAAAGCTCTAGTAATTCCTCAGTTTTGAGCTGAAATGGGTCAAACTTACAACACTACACAAAATCCCCAAATCCATGCCTGAATTCAGGAATAAATTTTGCATCTCCCTGTATAGCTTCAAGTAAGTAAGGCTGTTATCATTACTGCCAATTTATTACAATTTGTCAATGATGTGCGCAGCATTTTATGAAACACAGATTTTTGTTCCCCAAGGAACTGACAATCTGATTAGACAGATGACATATATCAACCATGGAATGCAGGAAGAAATATAAGGGGAATATTAAGAAATTTCTATGCTATGGTTAACGACAAGTAATCACTGTGCTGAAGTTGTGATCTACTATGCATCAGTGTCAAGAAAAAAGAATTGCTTATGGGAGAATGAAACGAAATTTCCTAGCGATTTTAGAGTGGAGGGACAGGAAGAGCACAGGGTTAGCATGGGAGCAGGGCAGGAGGTGCTGCAGTATTTGCTGAAGGAAACTCAGCAGAGCAAGATGCAAGGGGCAGAACAGGCTGCAGAGCAGCTGAAGGCAGGGGACGTAAGTATCAGGTTAAAACACACAAAGATCAGTGGTCCAGGAAGCAGCCAGCCAGAAAGCACTTATTCACATATAAAATGCTTCTGGCTAGTAACTTCTCAATAGCCATAAGCTCAGGGCACCACGTAGAAGTGTACGGGTACGTCACAGCCTTCCAGTGAGTCTTGTGGCAGGGATTCCTTCCTACCTAGCGGTCAAGAAAGGGATCAGGTGCTGCAGACAGGGCCAAGGAACATGGTTTCCCCTGAAGCAGGAGCAGGCTCGAAATGCTGAACTACGTCCAGAAGTCTGGAGTCTGCCTTGCCCCAGGGATTTGCAAACTGTGAGCACGCACTACCTATGACTCGAGGGTTCTCCGGGAAAGATGGCTTTCATTAGCCTTTAGACGAAATATGACTATGGCAGAAACATTCTAACAGGAACACACAATTATTTACTTAACACAAAACCAACTGAAATAAGGACAAAAAAAAAGAGATTATGAAAATAGATTATGACAATATGACTTTACTCACTGAGAGTTTTTCCTTGGCTTGTTTAAATACACCAGGAGCTTGGTTTGTTTCACCACCTGCTGCTGAGAGACCCAGACAAAAACTTAATGGTTAAAAAAAATACATATAAGCAATTTCCACTTAGCATACTGTTAGAACGATCAAATGCCCTGCAACTACTGTGCAAAGCAGTTACCTTGTGAATTAGTCTTAGGAAACTATATGCATAAAGGCATCTGCCTTAAAAATATCCTATATTCATCATACTTGATATAAAATAGTATTCTAACACATTTCAAACAAATCAGAATTTTGTCATCATGTTCCCAGAAGTCTAGAAACTAGGGTAAAATAGGCAAAAAATGGCAGACAGATTTAAAGAGGCGGTAGTTCTGAAGGTGTCTCCTGAGACATATTAGAGACCTGATTTCTAGAAAGCAATGGCCAGCAATCCCCTAAAAATCAGGCAAAAAATCAAATCAACCAACTACTTTTCAAAATGCAGCCAAAATTCCAAGGAGAAAAGGAAATTCTGTTTTTAATTATCAGCCCAGTGGTGCCCAAAAGCTCCATGTGGAGCTCCATTGTGGGTCAGCCAACCCATCAGACTTTAAAATTCAAATCAGATATAGGATAGCAAAGGTCTTAATCCGGTAGTTCATTTATCTGATACAATATAATTTAAGGTAATGCTTTTTTCCTTTTAATCTTTGACTTGGATCCCATCTTTAGGAGAAGGCTGGGAACCGGGGAGCTTTGCGGAGAGCAGATGACTGGTTGCACCCATTGCTGCTTTTCGGGAAGCCATTTGCTACAGAAAACTCCTTTGGCATCCGAGCCAGAATGGTGCTTAGGAAATGCAGGTCTGTGACACAGATGACATTCTCTAGCTATAATCCTAATTGTCTTCTGACTGTAAAATCAATCCTAAAACACGGTACGTGACAGTACCGATGAATGTTCTCCGTTCCCTGCACAGTGGCAGCACACGCTGGTCGCAGGGTGGGGGGATCCCTGCCTTTCTGCCACAGGCTGAACGTCCACTCCATAGTTGTGTCCTCCTAACAGCCCTTCCCTGATGTCTCCCTTTGGGCTTGCTTGAAAGAGTAGGAGGGAAACTTTGGGAGGAGGAAAAGGATATCAAAGAGCACACTTTAGCCCTGAGGTTGCAGCCGGGCAGAGGAGGGTGCAGCTCCTCCGCACTGCGTCCTTCACGCCCTGGGTCCTGCCTCCCTGCGGCCCGGCCTGGCGAGCGGGCTGGCCCTGCGCCCGCCACTTACCTGCGAGCACCGCCAGGCCTCCGTCTGAGCGAAAGGTCTGGATCATGACTTCACGGGCTCCTCGCGCGCGCTGCCCGCGGGGGAAGTACGAGCATGTTTTGCCCTGGGGCGCGAGCCTTCGTGTGCCGCGGTGGTGGGTGTCCCACGGGGCGTCCCGCGCCCCGTGACCTCACACAGGGAACAAGGCCGGACGCCAAGCGCAGCTTCCGCAGGCGCTCCGGGCCCTGTCACTCCAGGCTGAGGCCAGGGCCTCACGGGGCTCTCCTTGGCGCTGGACCTACGGTTTCTTTTCTGAATTTTATGGGGTATATGCAGAAGACGTCAGGAGTTAGTAGGAGAGTACCTGAGGGCAAGACAGCACTGACCCCATGGCTGCAGAAGTGTAGGGGAGGAGAAGGATGCTACAAAGACATTTGTATCATGACGTGAAGAATCAATTCCTCTTTTCCACGGCTTACTGACTCACCTAGGTCTTTTGAAAGAGAGTGGGAATTATGGGTCGCAATTCTGAGCTGAACAAACTGTGCTCTGGGAAACAATGAAAAGGGTGGCAAGAAGTAGTCCAGGATATAGACGGCAAGTTAGCCCCAGGACTGCAAGCAGAGAAGGAGCCACCATAGAGGGGCCCCATGAGCTCCTCCTTCCCGGGCTGCCCTCCTTGTCACAATCAGGGCTAGATCCCCTCCCAACAGCAAAGACAGGCCCAAATACACTTCCGTTTTCCTACAGGAATAAAACCTGTAGATAAGGCATGATTTATACTGCTGCAGCACGGTATTCAAGTAACACTCACATACAGTTTACTGTGTTTTCTACAGTCAGACATCCATATAGAAGGTGGTCCAAATTTAGCACAAAGGTGCAAAATTGGTACAAAACTGCATGGGATCAACTCCTTAGGAACACTTCTGGCACTTCACTATGTTGTTCTGTGTTATTCTGTTCTGTTATTCTAAGAATAAATCCTATTCTTAATTTCCAAGTCATCAGAAGAGGTCTGTGCCTGTACAACCCAGTAGTAGCTCTGTATTGCGGGGCATGATTCATCACTTGCTAACCCCAGTTCCAGTCATGAGCAACCACACTGCAACATGCAGATGTAATAAACAACAGAAAATCCACACTCTTTAACAGTTCTTTCTTTCCTTTTTTTTTTTTTTTTTTTTTTTTTAAGATGAACAATAAAACTAGAGATGGTATTTTTTCTACCCTGAACTCACAATAACACTAAGAATAATATGATGAAAATGTTGAAAATGTTCTCATTTTGGTCCCACAATATAATAATATATCTATTAAGATGTAACAGTATTTTTTTTTCATCCTTTCATCTTCCTCTACAAAAAATTAAGATTTTTTGCTTGGAATGCATTCGTAGCATGAGCTCAGATTTCTTCTCTTTCAGCTTCGTACTGCTTGTGGCTGGATTCACCCTGTGGATTTTGACTGTACATCATAAACATCAGTTACAGATTGGGAAGTATTCATGCAGATAATATCAATCAACAATATATGTCTGAAACACTTCTTATTATGCATGAGAGTAAAAAAGCAAAATAATGGAAACGCATACCATGGTTTAAGCTGTCAACATTTTCCCACCAGAAATTTTTTTTTTAATTAAAAAAAAAAAAAAAAAACAAAAAACAGAAATTTCTCCAACAACACACTATAACCACGATGCCAAGATACAACCACAGCACTTGGAGGTCCAAGCAACAACAAGCATACATGATCATGGCCTCCAATAAACAAAACAAAAACAAACACTGGAAAAGAAAGAAGAAGAAAAATAAAAAATGATATAAAGCATTAAAGAAGCAACACTATTTGTGAAGACTGATATTCTTAGAGAAAAAATAAAAAGAGAAGTTGCTATAGCCATGAGATTTACAAAAAAAAAATGTCTATGTTTGCCAGCCACATTGCATAATTGAACAGAACGCAGTCACCTGTCTGCTTCCGTTTAACACAGGAGAGATGAGTTGGTCTAGTATATTTGATAGCAGGTTTTAAAATGATTTTCCTGGAGGGAGAGTGGGCCTGAACTTCAGTTTTTTTAGCAAGTTCAGCTTTCTTATATACTGCTATGGACAAGAAAACACAAAAGCACAGAATCAGGAAAACACACCAAACAGTTTGATACGACAATACATCAAGTGGCAGGCCCACTGCTCCACAACTCCGCGTTGGGTCAACTGGATGAACGACTCAAGTTGGAAAAGGGGAAGCCCTGGTGCATTAGCCTCAGATGTGCTACCCCAGGCAGGGGCGGGAATGTTACAAAAAGCTGGATTGATGGAGCAGTGAGCCTTGCACGTAGCTTTTCATGTAATTGTACAATGTTTAATTAAAAAGCAATGCAGTTAATACTATTAAGATACACATCTTCTACAAGAGAGCAACCTGATAGCACTGCACAGTAGTACAAATATATATATATGTATAAAATATATATTGTAATAGGGAGTGTTAAATGAACCTTTTTTCCTTCTCACTTCATCTCTGGAGAGTGTGCTAGGTTCCTTTTTAGCTATTTTCCTTTCAGGAGTAGAAATCCTGCCTCGCCCAGTTTTAAAAGGTTTCTCTTTTTTATGCTTATCGAGAGATGGTCTTCGCAATTCTCTCTCTGCCTTCTCCTCTTTAGGAACAGTCTCTAACTGTTCAGTCATGATGCTCCTATCATCATCTGTAGGATCAGAGCAAATTATAACAACAAACAAAAGATTAGTAACAAATGTTAATATACGGTAGAGGAGCGGAGTAAAAATAGTTGAAGATAGAGTAGATGATTTAATTAAAAAAAAAGGCAGACTATTTTACCACATTGCTCTAATACACTGCGATTACTATTACCATTACAATAATTTTGCTTTTTGATCATTATGAATTGGAAGCAAAAACATTTAACAGACAAAACAAAAAGGATAATGCACACCTTGAGTATCCGCCCAGAGACTGTCCGTGTCCATGATGGAGTCATCAATAGTTGTTTCATCTTTGTAATCATCACATGTCTCTGTCTTGTAGTCGGTGAGCAGGACTTCTTCTCTCTCGGGTGTTGCAGGGGCTTCTGGGGAGCCCTCCTTGGGCTCAGCGTGAATGTCAGCCCCTTCCTCTATCTCCAGTTCCTCCTCAGCCTGGGAGTCCCCTGCTTCCAAGTCTTCTTGGGTGGCAGCAAATCGCACACTGTGAGAAGCTGATTCACCCTCATCGACTGTTGTCTGCACCACTGTGATAAAGTCATCCTCTACTGTCACCACGGATTCAATAATGCCTTTCAGTTCAAGCAGTGCTTCTGTGCCAACCTCGGCTGGCATTTCTTCACCAGCAGGCATCCCTAAGTCTACTTCTGGGGGCACTTCTTTTACGGGTTGCTGTTTATCCTCTTCTTTTTGTTCTCTTCCTACCTCTTCCTCCTCCTGTTCCTCCCTTTCTGTTGCCTCAGCTGTCACTTCACATGGCAGTGGCTTTTGAATTTCCATGGGTTTCACAGCTGCATCTGGAATCTTTTCAATTCCCTCTGTAGGTTGTGGTATGCTCTCCATCTGAACATCGGCAGTCTCTTCTTGCAGCGGCTCAGCTTTCGGAAGGGGGAGCTCCACAGAGGGCTCCTTTGTTGGCAGTTGTGCAGGAGTGTCTTCCTTCGACACAGGAGGCTTTGGAGGTTCTCCTTTGATGTCCTCTGGTTTCAAGGATTCTCCATTCAAACCTTCCTGGACTTGATCATGCTCTCCGCTAGATTCATAAGATTCCTCTTTATCAACTGCCTCTTGATGTACCAGATCTGGCTTAGCAACTTTTTCCTTAATTTCTGTTTCAGTCAATTTGGCAGTGTCCTTCACATGACTAGGCTCAATCTTGGAAAGTACATCTGCATCCTTCGTTTCTCTGGACAAAATGGTCTGATCTTTCTGCTGAGTTCCTTGAGGTTCAGGCTCTGCTCTTTGAACAGAGACTTTGTCTTGTGCTGAAGGGGGAGAAACAACCTCATGGACCTTAGCATCTAATTGACTCTGATATTCTTGGTCTGCCCTCCTGGCAGCCACTTCCATATCATGCTTTATAGCATTATAATCTGGTCTGATTGGAGCATCTATCTCAGCCATTTCGGGAACAACACTAAGAGTCTTCTCCTTCTCCATCAATAGAGAAACAGCATCTTTTCCTTTTGCTACCTCTGTAGCTAATAGTCTGTCGTATACACCTTCTTCTTTCACTTCTAAGGTTGCCTCAGGTCTTGTCTTCTCCGGCTCTGTAGCTTTAATGGGATAGACCTCCTTAGCATCAACTTGATCTTCACTTTTTTCTAGCACCGTATCCAACTTCTCTTTCTTCTCCTGCTCAAAGTCCCTCACCAGAATAGATTCACCAGGGGCATGCTGACCTATATCTTTTTCACTGAGGAATTCTTCTTTTGATTTTTCCGCTGCTGCCAGCTTCACTTCTATCAAAGACAGGTCGGGAGCTAGGCCACGTCTCAGTTTTTCATCAGTGCCTTCGTAAAATGGACAGGTTTCACCTGTTAAATTCTCACTGTCTTGAACAGGAGAAGGGAGTGGGACTGTGTACTTATTGAAAACACAGTAGCCTAAGTCTTCCAGCTGACTTTCAGCTTTTAGAGTTACATGGTTTTCATCTGTCACGGGTGGCAGCGCTGTGCTGCTGTCTTCCGCAACAGTGTCAGAAGGAACTGACTTCTTTTGGGCCACCTCAGCATCTGCACTCACAGAGGCTAATCTAGATCTTGTCCCTGCTAAGTCTAACATTTCAGGAAGATCAGGAGCCATTACAGCACCATTTTTGTAATAGTCTTTGGCTGGGAAAGGTGACTCAACCGAGGTCTCAGGCTGGACTTTTTCTTCAGGCATTGCTTTTTCCTCTTCAACATGCTCATCTTCATCTCTGCTATCAATGGGGAAGCAAGGAGCCTTCTCCAATGCTGGTGTGGTTGCTGGCAAGTAGTCGTCACCTTCATCCATACTTCCACTTGTGTTAGTTAGAATATCTGAAGCAAGGGGAGAGAGATCATGTGCACGGCCAAAGCTAAATCCAAGAGCTATTGAATCCAGGCAGGACATGGGCAGGTTAATAGACATACTTCTCTGTTCAATTGCAGATCTACCCCCAAGTCCCAAACTCCTGCTCAGAGTTAGGTCATCTTTATTTTTACTGTGGAGCTCTCTCTTATCTCCATAGACCTTGGGGTCAATAGTGAACATTCTTTCTGTTGGGGAACTTGGTTCCTCAGATTTGTCTGGTGGGAAGCTCTGAGCAAGGGTACTGTACCCTATTTCATGACCAGGCACAGGCTGCTGCTGATCCACTTCTGCCTGTAATTCTTCCTCCTCTTCCTCTTTGCTTTCAGGTATTAGATGATCTGCCTGATAAGGCTCATATGCACTCTCTTTAGTGTCACTCAGCTCATAATAATCACTGCCCAGCTTCAGGACATCTCCTTTGGTCACTTCCTCTTTCAGAGCAGAAGTTTCAAAATACTTTGACATTCCTGATCGATCCTCTTCTATTGTCATTTCATGAGTAATGGAATCCAAAACACTTATCTGATCCTGCTTGGTGTCTTTTTTAACATCTTTTGCCTGAGAAGGTTCTAGAGTAGGAGTCTTGTCACTGGTTAAACCTGGTGCCTCAGGCGCCTTCTCCACTGCTCTGGATAATTGAGTGGTATCAGGGTGCTCTGTAGTTTTTCCAGGGATCAGTTCTTGGCTTAACTTGCCAGGGGGCACCTCTGTGGTTGGCTGCACCTCCTTTTTTGTGTCTGTTGTTGCTGGGAGCCCCCTTTGGTCTGTGTCTTTTTCCGTTTTGAAAATATCAGGTAACTTTTTAGCTTCGCCATCCTTTTGAAAGTCTGCTTTGTCTAGAAAAAGTGTCTTCTCTTCAGGTTTAGTGGTAAATTTGCCATCATCCAATATTCGAGCTTCCCCTTTATCATAGAAGTCGTACCTTTCCTCCTCATCACTCTCATCCTTGGTCACGTCCTTTTCCTCCCCCCAGGCAGGGATCTTCTGCGTGCTCAGTGGTTTCAGTCCATCTACAGTTACCGCTGAAACTTCTCCTTGCGGAGTTGGTGTCTTGTCTCCGTGGATCTGTTCATCTTTAGTGAGAACTTTGGCAAGCAGTTGATCAGTGGGTTCCTGTTTTGCTTTGGAACTGTCTTCAGGGGGAAGCCTCTGCAGGACAGAGAGAGATGGGTCTGAAGGAAGTTCAGTTTTTGCTTCATCTGCCTTGGGTTCTGATGGCAACAGGAAGTTTCCACCATGGGTGATGGCAAGCTCTTGGACATCTTTAAAGTCATCTTTAAATTTCATAGAGATTATTTGGCTGGCTGGCAAGGACACATCTGCAGTCCTTTCTTCTGTTTTACTCCCTTTAGGCAGTTCAGATGACAAATCTTTGTGTTCTTGAGAAACAGGAGGCTTTGCAGCAGGTTCTGCAAAAGTGGCTTCCCCTTTCTTTTTGGCATCAGTTTCCAAAATCTGGTCTGACAGAGGCAAAGGTATTTTGTCTTTGCTCTGTGAATCCTTTTTATCTATAGCCTCTGTTTTTGCTGGCTGTGGAACTAAGGCATCATGTTTAGGTTGCTCACCAGTCTTACTGTCTTTCCAAAATTCATATTCCTTTGTGTCTAATGGTTCTGCTGTGAAAGGACGCGCGCCCTCCTGGACACGGTTTTCCATCTTCGTGGCTGTAAGTAAATCTGAAGTAGTTTGTTTGGGTTTTACAACGTCATTATTTAAAGCACTTACAGGCAGGCAGTCATGTGGCTTAGAGCATCATCTTGGTATGAACAATGGAAGGGAGAGGGAAAAAGATGCAAGCATGCAGCAAAGCTATCCACCTAGAAATCTGCTTTAAAGTGTTAAATCCTGGTTGGCTCTCCATATATAAGGTTTTACAGTGAAAATGGGAGTTATACACATATGTAAATCTATGACTACTGAAATGAGATGACTATATGACTTCTTTATCTTTATGGTTTGTATATCACAGTAAAATCATACAATAACCCTCACTTTATTGGCATGCTTTGCTGGACTATGAAATCTATGCTAGTTTCTCTGTAGTAAGGTCTGCAAAATTAGGCTCAATCAATAGTATCTGTGTGTGGTTGCTAATATTTACATACATACAAGTTTACCTTTTTGTATCAAATTTTTCTTTTCCACATGGCCTAAACTAAAGAAACAATACATACAAGAGATGTCATGGGCCTCAAAAGAGGCTACTTCTGAGTTGTAGCAACTTTTCACATTTACTCTTTGGCAAATGGTAAAAATCCCACTGCAGTCGTGAAACTGGCATGTGTCAATCAATATTGGAGCTATTAGCAGTCTCAAATCTTGGAGACCTAGTTTCCAAAAGGGCCAGCCATTCTCAGTTTAACTGAGGTCAAAGAATACTGGGTGTGCTGCAATGACTGGAGATCAGGCCCTAAGTTATTTTAAAATGAGAAATGCTACTCTCAGCCAGCCACACAATTTTAGGGAGTAATACTCGATTAGATTTTTTTTAAACATGCTCTGTAAATTATTAACAGCATGTTCTGTCACATGAAAAATAATGTATGAAAAATATGAGTATATTGTACAAAAAGTATGAAGACTCACACTGCAGAGTATGGTAGAACTTTCTGAAGCAATTTGTTAAAAATGTTCTAAGAGTTTTCTAAAACTTGTCGTAATAAACATCAGGACAAATCGGTATCTATCTATGATAATGTATCATTTGTACATATCAATGTATCATTTATTCAAAAAGGGTATTGCCATCTAAACTCTGCAGGTCAAAGCAAATAAGCTACAGCTCCGTAGTTTTACTCCTTTATGTTTTTAAGTTTGCTGACCGGTGACTGACTTGCAAACTGTTGGATGTACAAACATGGCCAACGAGCTGATGTCAGTAGTTTCACAGAACTTAACCCGCTAGATTCACCTTATGCCAATGAGCAGGGATAGTGGCAGCAAAAGATATTCTGCTAAAGTAATTTAACCTTCCTTAGCTGGGCCAGGATACCAGGCTCCCCACAGTAGCGTTTCTTAGCCAGCAGTGAATGGGTACACCAATACCAAGTGTCTTTGCACCCTGTCTTCACCATGATTGAAGTACCATTAAAAGGGCAATCTGGAAGCCCTTTCCTATCTCTTATTAGAGAAAAAAACTGATTGCAGTAAATATTTTGCCTGACTAAGCGAATCTGAACTTTTTCCTGGGAGCCCAATCTTGAACGTCATGATGAAAGCAGGTATCTCAGTCTAGGTGATGGGCATTTTGCCTGAGCAAGGATCTCCAGCAGGACTAAACATTTGTAATACAGTAAAACACACAAAAAATCAGAGTTCTGGCAATGATCAAGGAGAGAGCGGGTGGATGCAATGAATGGCAAGGATATGACATAAGAAGCAATAGCTTTAGGGAAGCTAAACCAGAATGCACTGAAGCACAAAAAAATACTGCACACTGCAAATGAAAACATTTCTACAGTTTAAGCCTCTTTATGTCATAGTCAAACTCAACAAATCTACTTTTTGAAAGAAAAGCAGATGAATCTCTGCACCAAAAAGAAAAAGAAAGTATACACAGATTAGCAATGTGACTGGCAAACACATCTGAGATGGGGGGAAAAGGCTTACGCAGAGGTATCAGCTTAGCTGCAAAGCATATTGTATCATGGCAAATAAAAATCAGGAATCAGCTGCAGTGGTGGGAAACCATGTTGTCATACAGCACCTATGCAATCGCTTTATCTGCTACGCACTCTTCAAGCATAATAACAAGAGCAGTCATACTCATAAATAAGAAATGGGAAGAACAAGGGATGAAGCAGCCTTGGAAAGCACTGGAGAAAGCCGGAGGAGAAGTCATTGGCAGCAGACACATGCAAACCTCAGGACACACCTTCCTCAGCCGAGGAAGGGCACGTGTCTTTCGGGGGCCTTTCCGCCACAGCGGTGCCGCTGGATGCCGCACTCGGCACTCGGTCTTCGCGACACACTTTGGCCTCCGAAGCAGAATCTGGCTGGCCCTCCCTGAGGCCCTTGGCCAGGTCTGCAGGCTCAACAAGCTCATGCTCTTTCCCCAGTTGCTTCCCAGGAAGGGCAGCAGGTTTCGCTTCCATGGCCATTGGACTCTCTACTGCTTCTTCTTCTTGGCGGAGGGAGAAAGGAGGCGACATCAACACCAACAGTAAACACAAAGCACAAAGCTCAACAGAAATGCTTTTACATAACACTTTCAGCTCTGAATACTTCAGATTTAAGTGTGTCAAAAGATTGCTGGGATTCAGCCTATTTTAATCGTTGTGGCATGGATTTTTCCTTAGGAAAAAACATATTTTCTCCCCTGGAACACACCGGAAGGTGAGAGCTGAAAGTGTTTGATAGGTTTACCTCTCCCAAAGATGACTGTGGGTCACAGATTCGTTGCAAATGAAGATGGTATTGGATGACGGATGGCTCTGACAACACCAATACATATCGGTGCATTCAAAAAGTACACTGATTTTTTTTTTTTTTGTGATAAATATGCTGTTTCACCCACCACAGAACACTCAGTTGGTATGAGGGAAAGCCAGAGCCATAAACTTCATTTCATTGACCTTGACTATTTCAACTGCTAAATACTAATGAGTCAGTCTATCATTTGGGTCTGGGATTTGGCAAAACATTCAGCTACTTCCATAATCTCAATAAATCTTGCGCATAGCTGGTGACTAATTATTTCACAAGAATTCAGCCCCGTTCCCTATGCTAAATGGATTTATCATCCCTTTCTGCCTTAGGCTTGCCAATATTTGAACTCTTTATGTGAAAATCAGAGATTTAACACAAAGATTCTTCGTTTCCTTTTCTCTCTCCCCACTATCCTCCAGGCTTCCTTCACTACCACCAATTCAGTCAAAGAAATCAGTGAGTGTGATGTCCCTTTATCCGAATTTCTAAAATCCACCACTTAGCCTATGGGCTGGTAAGATCAGTCTATCAACACTGCGTGGTGTTTATTCTCCTCTTGCCATGACAGAAGGATGATTAGAGAAGCCTTCCTTATGGACTGAACTCTTGCCATTACTTCTTGGAGCAAATATTGCTCTGCTCTGTCGGCATCCCTCCCCTCTGATGGGAAACCAGGATTAAGCCTGAAAGCTTTGATTCAGCAAAATCCTTCAGCAGCTGACCAGCAGCCGTGCTGAAAATCAACCCAAGGACCCCTCCAGCTTGAAGTGTGCCCCATGGTTAAGAACTTTGCTGAATCAGGCTTAAAACAAAGTGGGTTTGAATCTGCAAGTGGCTGTATCCAGCCCCTCAGCATTAGGGTTAAACGTCTTTACAAGGGCTTGATTTTTTCCCTGAGATTGGGCTAGTTAAAAACAGCCCACCAACCACCTACTTCAGTTATGGCCTTTAAAAACGATTTAAGGAACAGAGATATTATGGAGAGAACACTATAATCAATAAAGTGCAAAAATGAAATTCATGTTAGATACTATATCTTACATGAATAGAAGACGGAAGGTTCAGAATGAGAACTGGGCTGATGCCCGAGTGTTACGGAGATCTTCAAACACAGGAAGACTGTAAAAGCAGCCCAGCAGAATGGCAGGTGCCCAGCTCTAAGAAGCTCTTACTCAGAAACTTGCTTCCCTTCTTCCATTTGTATGTTCTTTTGTATGTACATCCATTTCAATAAAAACCATTAAAAAGTCTCTATTTTCACCCCATTTTTAAGGCAGGGTTGCTTCACACAGTGTCACATGATTAACACTAATTACTCCCCAAAGCACTAAGTACCCTCCAAAACTCTTTTATGAGGTAAGTGCAGTACATACCCAGCTGGCAGTGACTCAAGCTTAGCATCCAGTGTGAAGGATTGTCCTGGTTCCTGCTAGAGCAGTGGAAAAAAGGCCTCCGGAGGGCAAATCAGGTCTGCTCGAGATACTTGTCTCAGCAAGGCAGGAACCTTCTCCTGCAGCTCTGTCCTTACTCACTGGCCCATGGAGAGGCCCAGGTGCTTGGTCACATTAGATGCCTAGCTTGGAGCTGCTTAAAACTGGGGGAGACTAAGTCCAACCTGAATACTAATGTAAAAAGAACATAATGGTTCTCTCAGACTTATTACACCTCCTCAAATAAATACATTGAGTATGCAGACATTAAAAATAAATAAAAGAAACATGGAAAAAGAATCTCCATGAAATAAAGAGACTTCATTAGAGCAGCTGTAAAAGGCCTAGCTACAGCTTCAGAAACATTTCTTGAATGGATAAGCAAACGTATCTGAGGCAAAATGGTGCACAAATACACAGAAACACACTGCTATGGATACTGAAAGTTAGCATGGGCTTGAAGAAAAAAAAAAAAAACCTACAGGTAACATCTCTTCAGGACAGTTAGCTACAAAAGCCTCACCCTTGAGCAAGTTGGTTCAGAGTGCTCCTGAGGAAAGCATCATTATACAACTTCCCTGCTCTTAAATCCTCTACGCATATACTGCTGGCCAGTGTCAATTAAAAGCCTAGAATAGTGATCTGAGCTGGACATCCTTCTTATGTTCCTATACACCTGCTCCTAGTTCTGCTTCACCTTAGATTAAATTTTCAATAATCTAATTATTTTTCTCCTGAAAATATATGTATTTGACCTTACAGATTGAGTCGTTCCTGTTTTACTATGGCAGTAAGAATCCATGAGTTAACAAAGAAAA